CCCCCCCCCCCCCCCCCTCCTGCACTGCAAGGGTTAAATTCCCATTAAGTATAGGGGTAGAGCAAGGGTGGCAACTCCGGCTCTCCAGCCGTGCTTTAACTACAATTCCCATCATGTGTCTGCTTCTGGGAGTCATGTCTGAGTCTTCCAATGCCTCATGGAACTTGTAGTTCCACAACAGCTGGAGGGCCGAAGTTGCCCAACCCTGGGGTAGATGAATGAGGTGTGATACTCTATTCCTGGTTCCTGTAGTCTCCTTCCATCTGTGTGACTGATCCCCCAAAGCCTCTTCTCTAAGGCGCTCCCGCACGCTGAAGTCATCAATTACAATGTGGGGCTGATAGCATAGTTCTATCTATCTATCTATCTATCTATCTATCTATCTATCTGTCTGTCTGTCTGTCCTCTCTCTCTCTCTCTCTCTCTCTCTCTCTCTCTCTCCCTGTCTCTCTCTCTCTCGTATAATACCCACAAAGCTATTCACAAAAGGGTGAAGAGTTTGGAGGAGGCAGGAGAAGTGAACAATCTTGGACAATATAGCTGATTAGGAAACATTCCCCAATTCAGCTCACTTTCCAGTTTAGCTATGTTGTCCTAGATTGTTCACTTCTCCGGCCTTCTCCAAACTCTTCACCCTTTTGTGAATAGCCTTGATAATGAAAGAGAAAACTGGACGTTAAAGCAACCAATCAGCTTTTACTTTGAATTTTTCTACCTGCGCTGCACATACATAAGCCGGGATTTCACTGGTAGCTATAGAAGACCGTGTCACTAGTGATTGTATAAGCAGTCGTTTCTCATTTCACTTGCCGTGGGCTCTGTTACGGTGTTCAGGCTTTTAACATTCTTGCAGAGGGCAGGAAAAAACATATTAAACAATCAGAGCTCATTTCTTCACTGATCCAGCATTGTGAAAGTGAGTGCAGCTTGGATATCACTGTTGCATAATTCCCTTTGTTGGAGGGACTGTCCCTCTTTCCTCCTCTGTTCCTCTTTTTGATCTGTTGTATAGACCTCTATTTAAAAATGTTCTACTAACGTTCCAAAGTGTTCTAGCACACTAAGCTGGCCATACAACCTCTAAATCAGGGCTGGAAATCCCAGGAGCCAGGTCGCCAATGCTCCTTAAAAGGATGACAGCTGGCGCCTAACTTTTGAGGTGTTCTTTAGTTGTTGTCAATGGAGCTGGCTACGAAAAAATCCTTCTGACTCCTGGATTGGACAGACTGGCTCCTGAATTCCATATTCATGTGTCCACCTCTGCTCTAAATGATCGCATTTGGTATTTGAAGAGCTGATGTAAAGGAAAGGTAGCTCTGGTGGGTTTAACCAATCAAACCTTGTGCTATAATATGTCCCTCTTCCTTAGGCCCCATTCACACTAAGCGATTTATCGCGCATTTTTGCCACGCGATATCGCGCATTTTTGCCGCGCGATATCACGAGAAGTCGCCGGCCAATGCTATTCAATGGAGCTGTCTTAGTTCCATGTTGCCCGTCGCTGTCGCTCCAGCAGGACCCTTTTTTCGGCGGATTTTGCGTGATTTTTCTATTTTTTAATGGAGCCCGACGGTGAAGGTCAAGCTACCGTTGCTGGAACGTCGCCCCGAAAGTCGCGCTATCCCGGCCTCGCGGATCCACTGCAAAAGGTATGTCGCTTAGTGTGAATGGGGCCTTAATCTCGAAAGGTTGAGAGGTTTGCTGTTGTCCTTCGCTCCTCTTAATTGAACACACCAGCTATTTAAACACACGTAACATGTCATGGCTTGTTTGTGAGAGGAAAGCAGCTTTCAAGGAACTGTCCTGTTTTCAATGACTGTACTTTGTTTCCAAGTTATTTTCGTTTTAATGGCACCGCTGTATTTTTAGAAAAATGACCACATCCCTGCTTCTCCATAAGCCTCCGGTGTGTATTTTGTAGCTGTTGTGTTGTGAGCTGTATAAATAAAATTGCAGTAGGTTAGGTCGGGGCTGGAGAAATCCCAGGAGCCAGGTCGCCAATGCTCCTTAAAAATGACATCTGGTGCCCAACGTTTGCAGTTTTTGCTAATTGTCAATGGAGCGGACTCCTGCTGGGTGTTGGATTGGAGAGACTGGCTCCTGAATTCTATCTTAGACTTTGGCTCCCTTGTTATATGTGGCCCGTTGCTTTTTATTGAATACCGCAACAGCGACATCTCCAATGCTGGTTTTATTCCCAGTCACCTGGGTGGGGGGTGGGGGTGGGGGTTAGGTGTTCCTGTCCACATATGCATGTTATAAAATAAATCTAGCAAGGAGATTAAGACGCTCTCATGATTATTGCTGAGTTTGGGCTTGGTGTGAACCCAGTGACTTCACCCAACCCGCTCAAAACTGTGACCACAACCCCTCCTCCGGGCCCAATCAATGGTGGCAGTTGTAGCGGGGGGCATTCCCTGCCCCTTTGTGACGTATAGGGGCATGGAATGTGTCTGCTGCAACTGATTGTCCGGAAGGAGTGGGTTTGAGCAGGCTTGGTGCAAAATGGGGTTCGCACCAAGCCCCCACACACCACTTATGATGGCCACAGCCGACGTGAAGAGTGGCCACAGCTGATGTGAAGAGTGGCCGCGGCAGACGCGAAGAGTGGCCTTGGCAGACGGGAAGAGTGGCCTTGGCAGGCGGGAAGAGTGGCCTTGGCAGACGGGAAGAGTGGCCTCGGCAGGCGGGAAGAGTGGCCGCGGCAGACGTGAAGAGTGGCCGCGGCAGAAGCGAAGAGTGGCCTTGGCAAACGGGAAGAGTGGCCGCGGCAGACGTGAAGAGTGGCCGCGGCAGAAGCGAAGAGTGGCCTTGGCAAACGGGAAGAGTGGCCGCGGCAGACGTGAAGAGTGGCCGCGGCAGACGTGGAGAGTGAAAACAGCAGATGCGAAGAGTTACCAATAGCTTCATCCTCATAAACTGTCAGACTCCCGCCAATGCTGGTCTATTGACCACAAGCCTAGGCGGCAGGCTGAATGAAGAAAATCTATAAGGGCACGTCCAGGATTAGCAATTAGAATCAAATTAGTCATTAGTAACAATTAATGCAAATGTTGTCACCATTTCATGTACATGAGAAGTCATTTGTGTATACAGACATGACAATTATCATCAGCAGAGGTGATACACAACTTATACACATTGATATTTGTTTAACAAAAATATTTCTCTTTCCCGCAGCAAGCTCCATCATGTTTCCTGAGCAGGTTAGTCAAAGAGAACAAACATTGGATGGGTTCCTGAGGGCACCTCCATCCTTTGCCTTTTATACGAGTGTTTGTAAAATAGAAACAAAATAATAAAAACAGAATTCCATAATTCAACAACATGAATAAAATTGTACATTCACGGCTCGTTCACACTGTACATGGTGACTGGTGTTTTTCAGCAACTGAATAATGCCCCCCACTTGCCGGACCTGTCACCCCATACTACCTTGCATGCTAAAACTAAGGGATCTGTAGATTTAAAACAGGACTCTGGGTAAAGTGTTTTATTAACCCTTGCAGTGGGGTTCCCCTGGAACTGCAAGGGTTAAGTGATTGTGTCTAGGTTCAACAATAAAAAAGTTATACTCACCCGATTCTCCGAGCCGGCTTGCTCTTAGGCCGGTCCCTTCTGCCTCGCTCCCCCTCTGCAGCAGTCTAAGGTCCCCGACTCATCACGTTCTATACACGGCCTAGAACAAGCAGGGACACCGGCACACCAGTATAGGCGTGAAGCAAACGTCTTGTTTATTTGAAGAGATACGACATATTGAAGAGATGCGACGACCGTTTCGGGGTCACACAGGATCCCCTTCTTCAAGCAATGACATGTACAGCATTTACACATCAGGATGTCTCGTACCAGCGGCGCACAGTGTTGTT